CAAGGTTCATTTATTTTCTCCTGAGGAAAGTGCTGTACATCCCGTGATAAAAACATTTCAGGATTGTGTCTGATCATCTCCTCTATCCTATCTTCCATCTGTGGGAGTGACTGCAGTGAAAGAAGCATTTTGCTTTTGTGTAATCTGTATTTTTAACTATGTAAAATCAGAAGTCTATGAGCTTTGGCTCAATGAATTGCTGTTTCACCATAGTATAAAAATGTCTCTCAGCAGACTCACAGCCAGTTGGAATTACTGTAATCCTGGTGAGCTCTTGCTAATGAGACAAGCATCTGCAGCCATCCAGCTGCCAAGTACAGATTCCAGGTATCTTACAGAGGAGGAGGATTCTCATTTGGAAAAAATCAAAGTGGAAAAAAAACAAGTGGAGTGCTCAGGAATTCCTCCTGGAAACCCCCACCGAGTTCATCATCTGCTACTCGGGATCTAAACTGATTTTCCTTCTCTTTGTCCTCTGGAATATTTTTCAGGGAGTTCTGCAATGCTGATGTATATTTATCATCGTTTCATAATCCTGTCCTGTTTTGTGATTCCCCCTTCAAAGTTCTTCCTGCAAAGTTCCTTTCCCAAACAATTTGGATCCTTTCTGTTTGACAAACAGTGTGTTGACTTTTCTTCTTCCTTGCAACACATTTTAATAGGACTAAAATAAGCAGAGATGCCCTTGGCTCACTTTTCTGCAGTGCTAGCAGGAGCATGTATAGTTTCAAGAATATTAAGTATTCCTTGCTTTTCTCTTTTTTGTGTGCAGAGCAAGAAGAAGAAATGGCTCCTGTACCATGAGACTTAAATGGGAAATTCAGGTGTACAAAGTTTCAAATTCCAACTGATTAATCCAGACTCACTATCACTGGAAATAACCAGATCCTAAACCCAAAACCTTACATTTCTAAAACTTGTTGTGTTTTCCAGTAAAATGAAGGGGGGAAAAGAAATCTCTCTTGCTTTTTTCTATTTGAGTCTTGGGTTTTGATTTAAACTCTTAGCCTTTCTGTAAGGAAATAATCTACAGGTGTGTAAGGCAAATTCTTGTGAGAGGAGGGCTAAGAAGAAACCTGTTGGGGAAAATTTGCTGTGTGGAATTTTTTATGCTTTTTGGTATAGGATGTAGTGCCTGGGAACATTTTTTAGTGGTGGCCTTGGCAGTGCTGGGTCAATGGTTGGACTCCATGATCTTAGAGGTCTTTTCCAGCCATAATAATTCTGTGATGGTTTGAGCCAGAACAGATTAAAGGACTGTAAATAAACACAAGCTTTCTGGTCAGAATAGGAATGTGGTATTTTTAGTCGTGATTGTTCCTACAGTATTTTCCCAAAACGGGTAATGAAGTGTAGTGGTTTTGGTTTGTTAATTTGAGATTTCATTAATTTTTAGATTTCCTAATTAACGCACTAATTAGTATGTTGGGCTTGGTGTTGGTTAATTACTAATGTACTTATTTTTTGTTTTGAGATAGGATTAGGAGAAAGGTGAAATAGGTTTAAAATTTTAAAAGGATATAAAGAAAAATTTATTAATAGTAACTAAAAGAAAGAGTAATAAGAATTAAAATAAAAGCAGGATGTTCCCAGTACAGGTGTTTATTCTGCATCCAGCAGAGGCACCTGGATATCCTGGAATGTGGCAATTGACTGAGCCTAAAACTTTGGTTCATCTTGGTTTAGTTGCCCTTTCAAGGGTGAGAGGAGACCAGAACTGTTCGTGTTCATTTATGATCTCAGGAGGAATAATCTGGTGGGATCTCCAAGGTTTCTGATTTCCAACTGTCCTGGCTTTGTCCTTCTGCCACTTTTGGGGTGTCTGAGAGAGGAATTGCTGGGACCTCTCAGGCTTCACAAGTGGCTCTGCTTTGCTGGGCAGATGTTTTTAGCAAAATGTATTTTTCCTATAGAAAAGACAAGCTAAATTCAAATGCAAGGACAAAAATAGTGGGCAACACAATATAAGCCTGCTTTAAAAGTATGGCTTGGATGGGATTTGGATGGAGTTGGATGGGAATTTTCTGGAGCAGTGGAATCCTCGTGGCATCCTCTGACATGAGCGATGTGGTCTTAGCTTTGGACAGAGATCTTCAGCTTTTGTAACCAACTGCTGGCACTGCAGATGGATTCTGTGGCAAATCCAGAATTGTGAAATCGACTTTTGTTTTATTAAAACTACCAACTTTCCTAGTCTGTGCTCTGGGCCAATTTGATTCTGCTGCTCCCTTGTCTGTCTCCATCCAGGATTCTGCTGCAATCTGTGCCAGAGGTCAGAGAGGATGGATGTTTTCATTAACTGCAGGGACAGGCAGCTCCAAACTCAAACAAAATATCAATTCCTGAGGAGGATGTTCCTTGTGTCCAGTGTACCCATGCTGAAGAACATTCTTCCAGCAGAAATAAGCAGTTCTTCACTAGGAAAATGGAATTGTTTGCAAGGGCTCTTAAGAGAGGATGACTTTCTGCCAGCCTTGCACGTGATTTTCATTTTAGAGCTGTAGAATGATTTGGGTTGGAAGGGACTTGAAGATGGTCATGGACAGGGAGCCTTTCACTAAAATTTATATTTTCCGGGCCCTAAGCAACCTACTGTTCCTACTTCTCAGAGCCTTTTTAAAGAGCTTTGGCTAAAATACAATTTAGTTGGTGTTTTGTTTTGATTTGATTTTTTTTTTTGGGTTTTTTTTGGGGTTTTTTTTTTGTGAAAAGCTGATTTAAGACACAGTTAAAAGGTTTGAGAGTAGAATATTAATGTAATAACATGAGAAAGGTTTGCTCTTTCTGTAGCTACCATACAGCATGAAACATGAAATACAGTGAGTTTTATGCTTTGGAAGAAGCTGTTTTGAGGGAACATTTGTGGAGGGCTGCAGCTTCTTCAGGAGGGGCAGCTCTGATCTCTGCCCTCTGTGACAGGAGCAGGTCCTGAGGGATTTTATTTCAGTTACGTGCAGGTACTTTAAAGGTACCTTGCAAGGGGAGGCTGAGGCTGGATATCAGGAAATGTTCTTGCTGCTCTTTCTGGGATTTTTATCCTCTCAAAGGGAGGAGGAGAAGATGGCATTGATTCTTGAGTAGAAATTTGGAGTGACATCAAGAAGCTTTGAGCTATGTCCAGTTTCACAAAGTTTTCAGCAGTTTTGTTGCAATCACAAACTTAATTGATTTCAATAAAAAGAATCTTACTACATGATGCTAGAGGTTAAAATAATTGAGAGGGGGAAATAGGGTCATGGGGCCTTTTATTTTTGTATTGCTATATATTTGAAAACTGACTGTTGGAAGACCTGGATAGATTTGTGATGGATTTGTGTCCCTGTGACCTCCCTTATCTTTGGCAGGTAGTTTACAGGAACTACAACACTGCACAAGTTGCACTGATTCCCAAGACTAAAGTTAGGATTTTTTTCCTTATAGCTCTTCATAAATTAGAAATCAAGAAATATTTCAGATGTTACATTGTGCCTGTATTAATGACTCTGGCAACGTGATAACCAATACAGCCCTTTGCCTGAAAAGGGAAAAGAAAAGCTCTGAAGGTGTGGGAATCAGAAAAGTAGCAACTTCCACAGACATGGAAGGGTTTGATTTGCAGCCTTGGAATAAGCTTAGATTGATGTAAAAATACAATACACAGATATTAAGCAGAAAAATCATCAACTTATATTTCTATAGTTGTAAGTAAGAATATACCTTAAATGAGTGAGAAACTATATCGATAAGATGATGAAGAGTTTACAATGTAGGGGTGTGGTTGTGTAGAGTAAGTTAAACATCTAGAAGTTGTAATAGAAGTATATTTGTGCATGTGAGAGAGAAGCCATTGGATAAAAGTATCTGCAGTGCAGCAGAAGTGAGCAAAGGTGTGTGGTAGGCACATTCTTCTTTCTTTCAGGATTTTTCATAGAGGAGCACAGAGGATAGAAAGAGAAAACAATTTCTGTTTCTGCTCCTTGCTTTTTCCATGTGGAATGTGGTTGGAGAATTGTTTCCCTGGGGTGATTGCTTGGTTGGATTCTGGTGAGGATTGTTTGAGCTGATGGCCAATCCAATCCACCTGGGGCTGGACTCTGAAGAGGGTCACGAGTTGTGAGTTAGAGATGGTAGTTAGAAAAAGTAGGTTTGTACTTTTAGTATCTCCTTTAAATAGTTATAATAAAGAAATCATTCAGCCTTCTGCACTGGAGTCAGACATCAGCATTTCTTCCCACCGTGTTCGCCTGCATTTATAATAAAGGTGATAGGTTAGAAAAGCAAAATAAAACCTGTAGCAACTGTCCATTGGTTTAGAAAGTTCCATATTGCCTTGTAACGAAGAACTTGTGACTGCTCTTGAGCTATGTCCACCTGTGTGCTCCTTTAAAATCTCACAGCCTCTGAGACTGTTGTTTATCTGAGCAATAAATTGTTCTCAGCTTGAAAATAGTCCCATCCCTTCATTACAAGCGGTGACGACAATAATATGAAGGGTTTGAAAACTGGCAGAGTAATAAACCAGAGTATTGACAGCAAATGATTTCAAACCTGTTTTTATAACAGAAGGAGCTGTGTCCCTCCCCTTTCATCCTTAGACTGCTCTCACAACTTTGGTCGTTATTGATTAAGGGTCCAAGCCGTGTCTCACTGTGGTTTGTTGGAGTTGGGTGCTGGGAGGAAGAATGCTTTGAAAGGTTTTAATTTTGGATTTTGTGTGTGTTTTTCTTTTTCCTTTCATAGTAGTAGTTTAATCAAGTTTTTTTTCCCTTTTGTTGTTAAGCTTGGCCCACTTTGCTCTGTTTCTGATCGCATTTCACAGCATTCAGTTGAGAGGTTGCTGGTATTGTGGCAATGTCAAACCATGACAACAAGGGAGGTTCTTGCACAATTTAGGTGGGTTCGCCTCATTGTCTGCATGAGAGGACAAAGCCTTGAAGTTTCTCCTTGTTTTATTTTCTCGCAGTGCATTGATCTCTACTGAATAAACTCCAGATTAACTTTTACCGTCTTGGTGTCCTCAGGACTTTATCCAGCAGCGATGACGTGGAGGACCGGGAGAACGAGAAGGGGCGGCTGGAGGAGGCGTACGAGAAATGCGACCGCGACCTGGACGAGCTGATCGTGCAGCACTACACGGAGCTGACCACGGCCATCCGCACCTACCAGAGCATCACCGAGCGCATCACCAACTCCCGCAACAAGATCAAGCAGGTGGGAGCCAGCCCCGAGCGTTCCTGCCCTTGTCGTGTGGGAAACGCATTGCTAAAGGTTTGAAAAGGTGTCTGCTGAGCAAGGCAGGAGCCTCCCCTGATGTGGGAGTCCAGGGCATCCCTGTGGCTGCCCTGGAAGGTCTGGGATCCTGGCAGGGGGTCAGGAAACCTGCTGAAAATCGAATAAAAGTTTTTAAAACACCTCTCAGCTGCCCCATCTCTGGGTCAGAAAAGAGCTCAATCTGACATGTGTCAGCTCCACGGACTGTGCTCCACCTGAAAACCTTATTTTTTTCCTGGCTGCTGTTGTGTTATTGGTGGTTTTGCTACCCGTAACTGCCAGTGATGGAAGCTCCTGTTTTAAGCTTTTGATTCTCCTCCCTCTATTTTTCCAGCTTCTCAGCATCATTTCAAATGGAATTAAAATTGAGTTGAGAAAGTGCTGTTACCACCGAATTCCCACCTGGAGTATGTGTCCAACCCTGTTGGAACAGGTCTAGAGGAGTCCCCAGAGTTGCTCCAGGCCTGGAGCCCCTTTGGTCTAGAGCCAGCCTGGGAGAGCTGGGAATGTTCCCCTGGAGAGGAGAAGGATCCAGGGAGAGCTTCCAGCACATTCCAGGCCCTGAAGGGGCTCCAGGAGAGCTGAAATTTGGGAAAAGCCTGCAGGGACAGGACCCAGGGAATGGCTCCCACTGCCAGAGGGCAGCCAGGGATGGGATCCTGGGAATGAGGAATTCCTGGCTGGGCTGGGATTGCCAGAGCAGCTGGGGCTGCCCCTGGATCCCTGCAATGTCCCAGGCCAGGCTGGACACTGGGGCTGGAGCAGCCTGGGACAGTGGGAGGTGTCCCTGCCCATGGCAGGGATTGAAAGATGATTTTTAAGTTCTCTTCAACCCCACATCTTGGCATGACTCTAAATCTAAGCTAGGCCTGAATACCAGTGACTGTGTCACTACAGGACCACCCAGTCCTACCATTGTCCCAAGCTGTGTCTTAATGGCAACATTTTCAGGATTTCCCTGAGAACTGAAGTTGTTAAAAGTCAAACTGAGAGGTGGATGTGAAGCACAAAGCTCTGCAGTGTCCCTGTTCATTTATTGTCTGGGCATGTTGCTCTCAGGTTTTTGAAGTCTCCAGGGCTGCTGAGCTCACACCTTTCCATCTCATCTTTTCATCTTTTGCTATCTTGGCCTTCAAGCACCTCCTGAATAGTCTGGGTGATTCATCATCTTGCTTTTTGCTCACAGAATATGAATTTTGATGCTATTTCCAAGCTCAGCTGTGTTGTGTGAACATGAGCTTTGTGCCCCTGAATCTTTCTGCATTTTGAGTGCTCACACTTTTCGGGTATGGTGCCAGTAAATAACTCTGGCACTCGTGGCTGGGGACTTGATTGAGCTGCTCTGTCCCTGCAGCAGCAGATAAGTTCTTTGGGTTCCTATCTTGCACTTCCTGTGCAGTTTGCTGTACCTGAACTTTGCACAACAGGCACCTAATTTTTCTTACTTTATATTTTTTTTCTTGGCTCTGTGGAAGTCTCAGCTTAAAACCTTTCTCTGAAGTGCGTTAGGAGCAGCAAATTTTTACCCTTGTGGGGTTACATACTGACCCTTTTGGCTTTGAAAATTCATTTAACATTTTCAAAGAAAATGAGACCATTCTACTGCTTTCCAAGGGTAAGAGTTCATTCCAGGATTTATGGACAAAGCTCTGCACTCTGAAAGCAGAGATCAATTCCACTAAATTTGAAATCAACTGTAGGCAGTGGCCTGGTTTCACACAGTGTGCAAAGCTTTGCAGAGGTCAACACAAGCAGAGAGTGGTGTGACCTTTGGGTCCTACCTAGAAGAATGACTGTGAGGGTGAGGGACCTTCTGGTATTTAAGTTGGCTTATTAGTTTTGGTCAATATATATTGAAGTGGTTTTGACCTAATCTCACAGGATGACAAACCCGGATCTGGTTTGTCATCAATCTGTGTTACACTCCCAGGCTTGCTCTTCGTGTTCCCCTCTGTGCAAGGGAATTGTACAAGTGACAGATATTCCAGATCCTTCTGTGGATCTGCCTTTTGTGGTCTCCTGGTAGGAAAGGTTTAGTTTTGGGTTTAGCTACAGAGGTGTTGCCTCTGTAAAACTGAATTATGAATCAGAAACTATTCGGGCTCCCGAGGGGATTTTTTTTTTAAAGATGTGCTGTTCATTCCTTGCCCTGCTCCCAGATGTGGATGGAGATCTTTCTTGCAAGGACAGGAGCAGGAATGTCTGGTGAGATTCCTTCTGACCCCATGATTGTTTTGCTGACCTAATTTGGCTCTCTGTAGCTGCAGTCCACTGATGAAGCTGTGCCAGGTCAGTGAAATATTTCCAATTAATGCATTGAACAGGGATTAGATGTGATCTCTGTGTGTGTTTGTTTGCCTCTGCTTTTTAGGACACTCATAGATGAGTTTTTTTTGTTTTTTTTTTGTTGGCTGAGGATTTTTCCATGCTTCTCTTTTCAGAAGGACATTTTGGAGTTGCAGTATTGAAATCTCAAACTCTCCTGCCTCTGGAGAGAAGCTGTTTTATGGAGCTGTTGTTATTTACCAGTGTCCAGTATTGGTCCACTGATGTGTTTTTCACATAGATTTTTTTTTTTTTAACTGCCTTCAGGTGAACAAGGCAGGAGAAAGTGCAGCTGAAGTGGGATTTGTGGAGTGCTTTGAAGGCTCATTATTTAAAAATAAATTGAAGGGCTCCTTCTGAGTGTCTCTCTTCATGTGTAATTCAGTGAGAGTTCAGCCTGAGAAAAGGTTGGGCCCCAAGTATTCATAACTTATCACAAAACAAGAGTGGTGTGAAGGCAATGTGTGAAGCTGTGCTGCTAATTGCTTCCACATTTTAGTATGGATTGTTGATTTGCATTAAGCAGGAAAAGCTAGGTTACACTGACCTTACCAGGGAGAATTTGAAAGCAGGGAATGCTGAGAGAATGGAGAAGGAAAACTCTTGGTGTTGCCTAAATGGAGAAAAATCAGCGATTTTGCCACTTGGATGATGGCATGAGGCTCAGAACCAAGCTGCATGGCAGCAGTAAAGAGTTTGTAATGGCTTGATAAATAATGAAAATGCTGATCTGGACTCATAAATGTTCTGATTAAATCTTCTCTTCCAAAAAAAAAAACAAAAAAAAACCTGGTATTGCTCAAGTTATTGAGAAAATGGTTTTACTCTTAGCTGGTCTTTTTTCAGAGCAAAACCACCAAACTTGAAGAAAGGAGGAGACTGCCAAAAGATTTAATAGGCAGATGGAAAATGTTTGCAGCAGGAAAATTAGTGGTGGCTTATTTGCTTCCACAGAAAATTAGATTCTTGCTGTTTGCCAAAATACTGATTTGGTTCTTGGGAAATGGCCTTGGTTGTGGTTAACAGGATCTGGTGTTTTATTGCATTGTGGTACTTCAGTGAAATTTTCACTAGTGGTATAAAACTTGCAATAAAGACAACTTCACTATCAGAGAAATTAATTTTTTAGGGTCTGTAAAGTTCTCCTCGGCCAAGGCAGCACGAAGGAAATCAGATTTAATTTTACCCTGGAGATATTTTTGGGATTCCTAATGGAGCAGCCATGGGGAAGGGCTGCTCTCAGTTGCAGGGCCAGATGTCATTAACCCTTGCTGTGCTGCTGCAGGTGAAGGAGAACCTGCTGTCCTGCAAGATGCTGCTGCACTGCAAACGGGACGAGCTGCGCAAGCTGTGGATCGAGGGCATCGAGCACAAGCACGTCCTGAACCTCCTGGATGAGATTGAGAACATCAAGCAGGTCCCTCAGAAACTGGAGCAGTGCATGGCCAGCAAGCGCTACCTCAACGCCACCGACATGCTGGTACTCTTTTTTTTGCCCTCCCCTCTTTTTGCCCCCCCTTTTATTCCCCTTTCCCTCCCATCTCCTTCTTTTGCACTCTCATGCTTTATTTCACAATTACATTTTCCAGACATCTGCCTGGATCATCATCTTTCTTAAAATCTTGCCAATCATTTCAAGCCCGTTTTTATAACAGAAAGAGCTGCCCTGTGTCCCTCCTCTTTCATCCCCAGAATGCTCTCACAACTTTGGTCGTTATCCACAGGGGAGGTTCTTGCACAGTTTAGGTGGGTTTGCCTCATTTGTCTGCATGAGAGGACAAAGCCTTAAGGTTTAGGTTGGGGATTAGGAGGAATGTCTTCACAAAAAGGGTGATCAGAGGTGGGAATACACTGCTGTGAGGGGTTTGGAGTCCTCACTCCTGGAGCTGTCCATGGAATTCCTGGATGTGGCACTCACTGGTGGGGATTTGCCATAGGCTGGACTTGATCATCTCAGACATCTTTTCCTACCTAATTGGTTTTGTGACTCTGTGATTCTTTTCCCAAGCCTCTTGATCCTTTCTTCTTACTTTCAATCTCTTTTTCTCCCTTTCTTCAAATGTTTTTTTCTCTTCAGTTCCATCTCTTTTATTAGCCTGCCTTTCCATTCCAGTCTTGTCCAGGAGTTTCCTGGACTTCTCTAATAACAATCTGGTATTTTTCTAAACTTAACAAACACGTTTCCTGACCAGGCTCCAGCCCTTCTTTTCCTGGAACTGTCTTTAAGAATTAAAAACAAGAGAGGTGATTTTTCTCTTCTCAGTCCTGACATGTGGAGTGCTCAGTCCGGTTCTGGGCTCTCCAGATGGAGTTACTGGGTCCAGGCCAGTGGGGGATTACAGGGATGGTTAAGGAGCATCTCACATGTGCAGAGAGGCTGAGAGAATCCTCAGGGAGATGTTCTTGATGGTTATTATTGTTTCATGGGAGGGTGCAAAGGAAACAGAGCCAGACTCTCCTTTATGGAGCCCAGGCATGGGAGAAGAGGAATGGGCACAGCCTGAAACACAAGGAATAGTTTGACCCTAAAGCAGCCCTTTTTTTACTGCAGGGATGGTTGAACACTTGAAGTTCAAGCTCTATGGACACACAGAGGTTTTGCAGTCTCCCTCAGTGGAAAATTTCCAAATCCAGACTGGACATGGCTCTAGGGTGCCCATGCTTGGGCAGGGAGGTGGATTTGATATTCTCCACGGGTCCTTTCCATCCTGAGCCACAAAAAGTAGAGGCAAAAGTGCTACCTCTGTTTCTTACTCCTCTTTGCCAGGCAGTGCCTTTAAGGCCATCTTTTCACTGCCTTTTGTTGGGTTTTTTTTCCACTTCACTGCCCTCTTAGCTGTGCCTCTTCACTTCTTTTAAACAAGTCATTACCCAACAGGAGAAAGAGCTGGAAATTGTCACCCTGAGCTTTCATTTCCCCCTTTTTGCTTTATCTTACTTCACCTTAAACATGATTTTGTAAAACTTACCTTGTTCTCTCTGCTGGATTTCCCACAGATGCCACCCCCATCCCATGGCCTGTGGAACCCACCTGGTTTTTGTTGTTGCTGTCACATCCTCGTGTCTGGTTTCACTCTGCCATCACCTTCCTTTTGTTTTTCTGTTCCTCCTCCTCTCCTGTGCCAGCCCTGCTGCAGTCAGAGGATCATGGAATGGTTTGGGTTGGGAAAGGAGCCTTAAATCTCACCCAGTGCCACTCCTGCCATGGCAGGGACTCCTTCCACTGCCCCAGGCTGCTTCAAGCCCTGTCCAGCCTGGCCTTGGACAACTCCAGAAATGGGAGAATCAAAGTGTGGTGTTTTGCCTGATATTTTCAATTGTCAGATGTAAAAAAGGTGTTAGTTAAGGGTGTTCAGTGTAGGTACCAAAATGTGATACTCACAGATGCCACCAGTATGAGTTGAAATATTGGTGCTTTTTTCACCAGTGTGCCTGGTTTTTTTTTGTTTGTTTGTTTGTTTTGTTTGGGTTTTTTGTTTGTTTTTTTTTCTTGGGGGTTCTTTTTTGATTTTTTTTTTTTTTTTTTAAAATGCCAGACAAGTAATCTATTTCCTATTTGAAATCTGTGTTAGGAAGTGTAAGAAGAAAAATAACCTTGCTTAAGATTTCTCATGCACTGTGCTTTAGAAATGGTTTTCAACCTGTGTATTTGATATTTATGGGTTTGCAATATTTTGTGTATGTTTATTTTAAATATAAGCACTTATGTGTATATAAATATGTGTGCTTGGGTAAAGTTGCCTGTGGCTATGAGGGAGAGACAGCATTAGATCTCTCTGATTTATAGACTTCTGCAGCATTTCTGTTGCTGCTCTGTTTGGTTGTTTTTTGTTTCCAGCATAGCAAATATTTTCTAATAAATCAAATAGTAATGGCATAAAAAGCAGCTGTTAGTTCATGGGCTTTTTTTGAATATATATCAAGCAATGCAGAGAAACCTCAAGTGGAAATTGAACATTCAATTTCAGCCACTCATTGACACTTGCAATTCTCATTTGAAGACAAATGTGCCTGTATAAAGAAACAGTAATTCACCTGCGTTTGGAGCTTTTCCCTGGCCAAAAATCACTGCAGGCTCATTGGCTTTTGCCATCTTGTGTTAACACAGCTCTGCGAGGCTGTGATGTTGTAATCACTCACTGGCTGGGGATAATTCCCTTCTCCTTTGATATGATAGGAACATTATGTAAAATCATTACTGATCTGTCAGGGAGGCACGGTGTCCATAGATCTGCCTGTCCTTTGGGTTCATTCCTCAAGGTAAACAGCTGCTCGTGGCTCAGGAGAAGCCCAAAGTGCTCTGACGAGGAGTTTGTAGCCCTCAGCCTGCACTTGGAGCCCTGATTAATGCTGTTCCTGTAGCCTTGTGATCCATACAGTCAGAATGAGACCTTTGCAGCCCTTTGCTGGCTGGATGCAATCCTTCCAAAGGCATCATTCCAGCCTGCTGCATCCCATCCCTGCAGCCTGCTCTTTGTATTCCACTCACATTAATTGAAGTAATTTTGCCACTGAAGCGTGTTTCAAACCTCTGCATTTAAATTGAAATTTTAATTCCCTTATTGTTTGGAAAAGACGGCTGAGGATGGCTTGTTACAGGTTTCATTATCACTCAAAACTCTCCAGCTGCTGGTTCTAATGTGCAGTGACTGAGTAATGCAGGCAGGGTTTGTTAATAAAAGACTGGCAGCTTTTCCCAGTTGGATAAACACAATGCAGAGGTACTTTGTGACAGCTTACATTTGTATGAAGTTAAATTTTTTTTTTTAAGTGACGGTTTTTTTTTTCTTTCTGATTCTGTATCCAGCCAGAGCAGCACACAAATATCAGGTGTTCCCCATTGCGTGTTCCTCCAGCATCTTGATAATTCCAGGAGCACAGGCAGTAGGATCAGGTTTGCTGTCCTGTAATTGCACATTACAGGGTGTCTAAAAGAATCAATTTCCAGCATCCTTTGAATTGTGAAGCTTTGGAGAATTTGGGAATGTCTGGAACAGATAAAACGCCTGTTTGAGCTGGAATGCATTTTAGTTATTTTCCATTTCTTTATGTGCCTTTTTTATAGAGTGAGTTTGTATATTTGCCTGAAATGGAGCTGGTTTTTCACACACTGAATTACTGACAGCAACAGTCACTTTTATGGGGCACTTGAGTGCACGTGCAGCCATTTGTGGGTGGTTTTTGTTTAATATAAAACAAGAAAAGGGTTCAGGGGGGACCTTCTGGCTCTGCACAAGTCCCTGACAGGAGGGGACAGCCAGGGAGGATCAGGCTCTGCTCCCAGGGAACAGGGACAGGAGGAGGAAATGGCCTCAAGCTGGGCCAGGGGAGGCTCAGGGTGGATTTTGGGGAGAATTTCTTCATGGAAAGGGCAGTGCTGGTGGAATCCCCAACCCTGGAGGTATTTAAAGCCATGTGCATGTGGCATTTGGGGACGTGGACCAATGGTGGCCTTGGCGGTGCTGGGAATGGTTGGACTCGATGCTCTGAGAGCTGTTTTCCAACCTAAACAATTCCACAATTCTGCCATCTGCTACTGAGGGGAAATTGTGACCCAGGAGGAGCTTCCTAAGAACAGTCTTGGAGAGGGGAGCGGAGCAGGGGCCAGAGACACTGTCACTTCCCACTGTCACCTCAGGGACGCTGAAGTCACTTCCCTGGAAGCCTGAGGAAACCTTCTCAAGCTACATCAGGGAAGGTCTAGGTTGGATATTAGGAAAAAAATTTTCACTGAAAGAATAATAAAATACTGGAATTGTCTTCCTTGGGAGGTGGTGGAATCACCATCTCTGGATGTGTTTAAAAGAAGACTGGACTTGGCACTTGGTGCTATAGTCTGGTTGTGGTGTTGGGGCATAGGTTGGACTTGATGATCTTAGAGGTCTCTTCCAACCTCATTATTCTGGGATTCTGTGAATCCAAGTTCTTCCAGAGGAGAAGTTCTGGGAGTCCTCCACATCACCAGAAGCCAGAGCAGAGATCAGCAGCAGGACAGGAGATTGACCCTTTTAGGGAAGAGTTTCATGTCCAGTCTCCCCAGCACTGGGCTGTGCATTGATTATGCTCTGCACAGTAATTAAGAAACTAATTAGCTCAAGATTGTGGAGATCTGTGCTGTTACTTTAATTCTTTGGATTCCACTATTGACCCATGAGGTCCTTGTAGGGAAAACTTAATATTTGCTATTTGCTTCTATAATTTAAGAGCTGAAATGCTGAAAACAGTGAAGAAACATTGTTGAATGAAGTAATTTAAGGTCATGTCATATAATGAAATAAAAACTCTTTAGGCTACTTTGGTTTTGTGTCTGGATTTGCCCTTGTGGCAGGTAATAAACACTGAAACTGCAGAAATCTGTCCATGGGAGCAGAGGGAGGATCATTGCTATTTCCACCTGAATTTCTTTTTATTAGGAAGACAAGAAGGAAGAATGAAGGTGGGAAGAAGGAAGGATGGAGCCCTTTGATTATTCTTCACTTC